TGAACTTTAACCAACAGTCCTTAAGTTGTGCCGCGTTTAACGTCGATTAACGTTGTTTTGGTTGAGCTTGAAGTTAATTGAATGGACAATAAAGTTGATAAGTTAATATAGTGAAAATAGAAGCGGAAGTCTTCCATTGGTGTACGTCCCTTTGGATGGGTCCCACACTTGGAGAGAGGCAGCGCCAGGGGATCTGCTGTCCAGGATTAGCGGGGATGTCGGGTTACATATTAAAATACAATTCTGAACACCACTTACACGCACATCACTTTCACCTTACTATGCCTGTGGTTAACCCCACTTCTGGAAGCCGGTAAGTTCGTCTTTGCTTACCTAACCGTTCTAGTTTAATTATCCATAGGCCATTTTAGGCCCGACCTACTGTTACCCGTCGAGTTGGACTCCTGATGGTCCCGAGTTCAACGACCTTTGTCAGGGTAAATTTGGGCCGTAACAGTATATATTTATTATTAAAACTATCTGATATTAAACTACTAAACTAACTTTAGGTTTAATCCTATTACTTAAAGTATTAGCTAATATCACATAATATCGTTCAAAATGACCGTGAACCAAAACGATATTTTGTCATTGACTTCCGTGACCAAGTAATTCGCAGCGGCCGGCGGACGAGTATTACGTCTTAACGGCATTGACATTCGTCACGCTGCTGTCTTTTGTATTTATTTGCAATTATAATAAAATTAAATATTAGATCAGCATACACTGAAAATGTGTATATATATGTAATATCAGTGTGTGCTCCAATTGTAGAGTTGGGTTTCAACGCAGTGTGCGAAGAAAATTACTAGCCGAGACAGTTGCAGATGTCGCCAATTTTTATCTCTGAGGATTTCTTACGATGTGAGTATTTTATGTTATGGAAAGCTATTTATATGATTTCTACATATCTGGATTTAATTTTTAATGAGAAATATATCTTATTTTTGTTACTCTCGATTTTATTCCAACAATATTATACTGCGGAAACGAATATTACATATTTTCTTTTTTAATTTACTACTTAATTTTTTTGTTTTACTGAATAATATTAGATATGGTATGATTTTTTAGAAATAATTAGAAACGAAAACACAAAGTTTTTAAAAATATACCCCTTCATATTATTAACAAATTCATACCATCTAAAGTTATTATTTTAATATTTCGTTATATTAAATTGATAAATGTTTAAAAGAAAGACACATGTAATGTGTCTTACTCACGTAATTTGAAAAATTGTTGTTGTCATTCAATCAAAAATCAAAGTCGGAAAAGAATATGTTTATCCTTATATTTATACTAAGCGTAAAATATATGTAATTAGAAAAAAAGTTAATTTTGTGCAGTGAAAAGTTTTTCAGTCTATTCTAATATTACTGTTACAACTAATAAAGGGCATATACTACCTCAACTCAAATTCTAATTTCACCCCCACTTCCCCGCGCGTCGAATGCCATGTGCCGACATGTTTGTAATCACTAATACTGTAAGTAGATAGGTCGTTAGATACGTATTTCATTAGGTTTAAAATATTTATGCCTATTTCTTTACGCCAGCCAAGTCGCTGCTTATTTTTATTACGGTTATTTCCCATTTTAATTTGACGTCGTCCTGTTTCCTAATGTATATTCTGATCGTAATTGACACAGCTTTTCCGTCTGAAAGCTGAAGTGAGATTGATCGGTCGGCATGGAACAAGCTTCAAGATGCCGATAGTTTAGGTAATTTCTTTTTACAGTGAAAATAATTATAATTTAAAAAAATATAAAAAATATAAGCCCTGCGTTACAGTTAGTTCATTTAGTATGCAAAGTTTCATGATCTTATTTTATGTATTTTATTAATACCAGCAGTTTATTGTTCAGTTTAAGGTAACTTTGGATTTTTTTTCTATCGATAAAATTTTACAGAATCGTGTTTTCGTCTAACGTAGTACTTATTTATCCTCAACTTTACTTAACATTAATCCTAAACTTTACTATATATTTATTTCAAAATTAATGCTGCAATATTTTCGGCATAACGGAAGATCTTGCTAAGCCCTTTTAGGTAGGCATTATTATTAGGTAGGTATTACACAACTCTATAATATTCTGATAATATAAGTTTATTTATTTATTTATTTATTTATTTAAAACTTCATATACACAAGTGGTATATAGGCGGACTTAATGCCTAAGGCATTCTCTCCCAGTCTACCTTGGGATGATGCAGAGATAGAATGAAGTAGGTGTAATAAAAAAGTTAATATGCGAATACTAAAATAAAATTACATTAATATTCATACACATATATGTATATAAAATATATAATATACATAATTACAATAAGAACAATAAGGATATATATATATATACACATATATATACATATACATACATACACACACATACATACATATATACACATATACATACACATGTACAAACAGTGCGTGTTGCCAGTGATGACTTACGGATCAGAGACGTGGTCCTTCACTGCTGGCCGTATGAGGACGCTGGTTCTGCCAATGATAAGGATGATGATTCTGCCAATTTATTAAGTAAGTGTTCCCGAACCTCCATCTTGAACGCGTACCGATTGCTAGCCGTCCTGATTTCGAGAGGGAGTGCATTCCAAAGGAGAATAGATTGAATGTGGAAAGAAGAACGAACAAGTCCAGAGCTATAGGATGGACATAGGAGAAGAAGGTTGTTCGTAGAGCGGAGGTTTCTCTCATGACTAGCACTAAGCAACTGAAAGTGAGGAGATAAGTAGGAAGGGGAAGTTGGAGACATCAGGATAGAATAAAGGGTGGTGAGTGCACGCAAACTACGGCGTTGACGAATAGGTAACCATTTTAATTGAGATCGATACGTTGATACATGGTCATACTTTCGAAGATTGAAAATGAATCGAATGCAGTTATTCAGAAGACGGTCATATTTGTTGAGAAGATCTGCATTCAGGTCGAAATAACACACATCACCATAGTCGATTAGGGGAAAAATTAAACTCTGCACAAGCATTGCCTTAATTTCAGATGGTAGAAAATTTTTTAGGCGATAGAGAGAACGCAGGGTACCAGTGACTTTCTGGCTAACGGTCGTTGTTTGGGCTTTCCAACTCAAAGTAGAATCAATTAATAAACCTAGGTCCTTCACAGTGGAACACAATTGAATCTCAGTACTATTAAAAAAGATAGGAGGTAGAGCTACTGTTTTCAATCTCTGGATCATCGGACGGCTACCAATTGTTATGGCCTGACACTTCGAAGGGTTGACCATTAGGCCAAACCTGTCAGACCAGTTCTTAATGTACTCAAGGTCCCTGTTAAGTGTGTCCACCGCTGTAGAAATATCGTCAATACTCGCTTGTGTGTACAGTTGCAAGTCATCAGCATACAGATGATACGCAGACTGAAGGTTTTGAGTAATGAGATTAATAAATATAGAAAACAACAAAGGAGATAATATGCCGCCTTGAGGGACACCAGCATGTATGTCAAGCCAGCTAGATGATAGCTCATCGATGCGAACCGACTGCTGGCGCCCTCGAAGATATGATGAAAACCAATCCAGTGCTTCGGGTGAGATCATAGAAAGGGAAAGGATGGAAATTAGAATGTCATAACTAATGGTATTAAAGGCGTTCGAGAAGTCAACCAAAACCAACACAGTGACTTTAGTGTCCTCTATGCCTGCCCTAATATCACCAGTTACTTTCAGGAGTGCGGAAACGGTACTATGACCGGGCCTAAAGCCAGACTGCAAGGGACTTAATAAGTTATTACGAGAGATAAACTGCGAAAGTTGCTTGTGGACACAGGCCTCAAGGACCTTGGATAAGAAGGGAAGGATGGATATAGGTCGGAAATGATTGGGTAAAGTGGGATTTGGGATCTTTTTTAAGGGAATAACGTAAGCCTTACACCACAGTGAGGTAAAATTACCAGAATCCAAGGAGAAGTTAATGATGTGCGAGATGACTGGGAGGATATGGTCAAGTATATAGATAATCATCCGTCGGCTGATGTTGTCGTAACCTACAGCATTAGATTTAATGGAAAGGATTATCTTCTTACAACATGATATGCCTGAAATACTAATAATATTTTAAAATCGTAATATATAATCGATGATTCTCTTTTGGATTTTCAATATCTTCTTTTAATTGTAAATAAATTGTATTTCAAATTCACATCAAATCTTCATCACGCCAACCTCGCTTCCCTCTTCTCCACCTCAAATTGTACGTTTTTCTGAATTCAATATTTATTTACTCTTTTATTTTTAATTATCATTTCTGATCTTTTCAGTTACACACACTTGATGTAGTTTGTTGTAACTCTCTAAGATTAATGTGAATGTTGACTTACTTACTTTAATATGTACTAATATTGTAATAAAAATTATGTTATTTGCCATAGTTGCTACTAATTTTGTGGTAATCAAATTTTTGTTTTATTATATTATTCTATTGGAAGTTGCTGGTGCTCATCTCCTGGTATTTTTATTTTACTCCGTCGACTTTCACGACACCATACGGGATGAAACGGGATGGCAATTCACGAAAAGCCTGTGTAATATTTTACATTACATATTTAATTTAGGAGAGCTATGTTAAACAGTGGACTGTTCTAATGATGATGAATAATTATCAATAATAATTGTAATTTTTGTTGCTTACTATTCTTCCTATTTTTAATATATATTTATGTGTAATTTATAAGTCAGCGCCGAGCAAATTTGAATTTAATGCTCTGGCACCCTTTTTTTATCTCTCTTAATTGATAATCTTCTGATTTCTAATAATATCATAAATGGACAAGTATTTATAGACATTATATTTTAATGATATTTGGAATTTATACTTGGTAATAAATGAATATTTTAATAAACAAAGGGCCCGCCCTAAATCTGTCTGCTATGCCATTTTTAAGAAAGGACTGATAAAATAACAAATGCGGTGTTATTATTCATGATGTTTGGGACTTATGCTTGCTAATTTATTTATTTTCACTTTAGTACTGAGTTGTAGAAATTAACTTGACTAAAAATTCTATTGATTATATATGTGTTTTCAACTCCTAGCAAAATAGACGTATTTTTTGGCTATGTAATATTTGAAATGTTATTCAATATATATTAACACATTAACATCGTCCTCACGAGCTATTTACATTGCAATAAATGTAAATATATATATATATATATATATATATATATATATATATATATATATTGATAAGAATTATTATTTAGTGTAGGACACTCTAATATTCGTTAACTTTTTTTAGGTGGAATGCTTAAAACAAATATGTATGCCTTGCAGGCAGAAAGCTTGCAGAGCTGCTCGTAGGCAGAGGCAAAAAAGTGTATGGATATTGAAGTATAGTTTTATATCATATCTCTTATCATTGAAAATGCCCTTCTTAGGTTAGAAATAAACAATATTATAAAACGACATGTTACCGTCAAGTTATTTTGAAAAAATCTTGTGATATGAAAACACAAAAAATGTTTATAGACTTTTAAACCATCTAACCGATTTAGGTGAAATTTTTATGTGTGTTTGAATAGATCTCTAGATAATTTATATTTAAATATGGGCTCAGTAGATGGCGCTGTTGTCAATATCCAGAAATTACCAGTGCGAAGCCGTGGCGGTTAGCTAGTAATAAATACAATTAAGTTAACCTGTGTTTTTGTTATCTTTGCACACACAGTTCAACACGTCTTATTTCCTCACTATTTATCAGGGTGTGATAGCGTAGATAAACATGATATTACCTAGTTATATTGGTATTTTATTACCCAGGTATTTTATGATGTATAAGTATTTAATAATCAACCAAAACATATTAAAAAAAATCTTGACACCGCGCCTGTCTGTCTGTCTTAAGGCTAGGTATTTCGCAGAGACCGCGCTTTTGAGTTTTCTTAAACCATCTGAGGCATAGAAATTAGTGTTTTAAATTATGATAAAAATATATACTATTAGTTAAGGATCTTGTCTAGTCAAAATTGAATTCAATTACAAAACCTAAAGAACTTCACTCGATAGAAAAAAAATCCCGAAGTGACCCCTTTTTGTATTGTTTTTTCAATATTATGACTAAACTACTAACATTTTACACTTAAATTTTGTACTCAAATAAAGCCACTTAATTTTTACAGACAAATTTGCAGAGTTTGACTTGATAAAAATATTGTGTTAATTACTATATTTAGATACCTCCTAAAAGCGAGAGCGCGGCGGCTCGGCAAGCCTGACCAGTCGCGCGCTGGCGCTTATGGACGACGGACCCGTGTCAGTTTTCTCCGTGCACCAATAAATCAGTTCTTGACGAGTTCATATAGTTGTTGTCACAGACTAAATATCGCGTGCTGTAAATATAAATCCTGTGGTTTTAAGGACGCGTTTACAAAATTGATAGGTATAGAATCGCACTACTACATTGACAAAAGTCGCACACACAAGTGTACGCACGGTTGGCTGTGGGAATCGTAGTCAAATCAAATTATTTTGATAATTTGAAAGATTGAATTTGTTTTTTATTTCTTATATAATAATATATAATAATATATTTTTTAATTCAGACCATAGTCCATATAAAAATGTGTTAGTAAACAATTAACTTATATAACTATGTTAATACAAAATGTGTTAGTGACTATTACTTATGCTATGTTAGTCCTTAATCTACCTTAACCTATTCAGCACCATCGTGGGCGCTGAGGCCTAGTGCCGGTGTGCACATCATTCCAGCTCCTCCAGAGAGGGCTGTCTAGCTTAGAGGCCAACGCGCTGAGGAGGGTGTTGGTGCTTCTCACAAGCCTGCTCATCATGGACGCGGCACGCTTTCGCACAATCGCCTAGAAGTCATCCACACGACTGTCCGCAAACATTGCCGACGCACTGCAGTTTCGCAGCTTCCTCAACACCGCCCTCAGCACATTGTTGTATTGCACTCTCAGGGCGCCGTAGGTCCGCTGTGAATAGCCCGTCCACAGACTGCACGTGTAGAATGATTGGCAGTAAGCTTTAAACAACGTTATCTTAACCTGATTTGTACACCGTGCATATCTGCGGGCCAACATGTTGCCTCTCACCGCCAGCGCCCGGCGCTCGCGTTCAATGTCTCTGTCATCCTTCAGGCTGTCGGTTACTATATGGCCAAGGTACCTGAACTCAGTAACCTGTTCAAGGGGACACCCACATAGTTGAAAGGTGGGTTTCAATATGGGTAGCTTATTTTTCCCCTTGAACACAAGAAACTCACTTTTGTTGGAGTTGTAACTGAGTCCATGTACCTTAGCATACCCTTCACAAATTTGTATTAATCGCCTAAGACCACTGATTGAGGGGCTCAACAGAACCATGTCGTCAGCATAACTAATGTTGTTTATACTGACCCCATCTACCGAACAACCGACACCAGCTCTACTGAGGCTCACAATCAGTTGATTTACATACAAATTGAACAGCCTAGGTGACGTCAGCCCTCCCTGCCGTACTTCACACCCCAGGCTATAATCTTCGCTCAACGCATCATCCCATCTCACCACATTTTTCTGGTTACCATACCAATACTCGAACAAAGCGATTAGCTCAGGCTTTAAACTGGTTTCGTTCCTAAGCTTTTGCTACAAGATTTTGTATAGCACTCGATCAAACGCTTTAGACAGATCCAAAAAGCAAGCATATACCGGTGTTTTTCTATCAGTGTAATACCGCACAGTCTGCTTGAGGCACAGTATTGCGCTCTCTGTTGAAAGTTCCGGTCTAAAACCAAACTGCGCATCGTGTACTTGGAAAGATTTACGTAACTGCGCGTCAAGCAGACTGTCGAGGACTTTAGCTGTTATTGTTGCCAAGGATATCGGCCTATAATTGGATCTGTCCGCCGCATCGCCCGTCCTGTTTTTAATAATAGGCACTACCACTGTTCTCATCATAGCCTCTGGAAGGTAACTGTGGCTTACACAAAGATTGTACAGTAGCTTGAGGACTCTGGCAATGTGCACACCCGCATATCTCAAATGTTCAACGCTGAGGCCATCGTGTCCCGGCGACTTACCACGTTTCATGTTTCTAATTGCATCATTCCCTTCCTTGAAAGTGAAACGCAAGGGGCTAATCCCCGAGTTCACGATGTCCTCACCGTCGTCCAAACTACAAACTATCTTGCTAGGATCCACTTTGAACTGAGCCTTGAACATATTGGCAATGTTTTCACTTCCAGTTATGCCACCCACTTCTGCTGGAAGAGGCACCCGAGCATTCAGGCCTTTCGTTTGCTGCCAGAACTCTCCGAATTTCTTCGCCTCACATGACATTGCTAATATGTCCATCTTGATTTGTTCCGCATTGTCTTGGCACCACTTAAGCTTGCTCTTAAAAACCCTGCGCGAGTCTCGCATATCCTCATACAGAGCTCCACATGTCGGCCGTCCTGCCCAAACCCAGGTTTGAAAGCAGAGACGAGCCTTTTTTATGCGCCGGTCTCACATGTCTATTCCACCCTGTGATGTAGCCTTTCTTATTTCGTTTTAAATATTTATGGCTGTAACTCGCAGCATCCAGCAATATAGATGTAATATCGTCATACAATTTCTCTATGACTAAGTTGTGTTCCGGTTTGTCACACATCTTATCAGAACAATCCCTCAATTCCGCCGGAAAGTCAAGTAGCCTTAGCCTGCTATTACAAAATTCAGCATACAGTTTTATCTGATCACTATCTCTGTGACCCCAGATTACCTTATTATCCGCCGTGTACTGAGCTGACTTCACTTGAGGTCGGACTAAGTTGAATTTACAGTAAACTTCCAGAGGATAATGATCAGACCATGTCACATTGGTTTTAACATGTATGCTGTCAATATATTTGCTAGCCATACTAGTTGTAAGGCAATGGTCTAACCAGCGCGAGCAGCCGTGACTATCACTAATATATGTATATACATCAGTATTATTAGATAAAAATTCATAATCAGAACATACCCACGCCTGCTCGCTACAAAACTGAGACAATTCATTAAAAAATAACTCTCCAGGATGTGCGTTAAAATCGCCTAAGATAAAAACAATATTAATTCCGCAGTCCTCGACAATTGCATTAATTTCACTTAGGCACTCTGTGAACTCGAAAAGATTATCGGTGCAGTCAGTAGGCATATAAACCGAGAAAATTAGCATAGTATACCCACGAAGCTGGCATTTGATCGCACACAATCTCACACTGTTACATTTCGCTACTGACACGGATGAAAACATATTTCTACGCCATAATAGCGCGACGCCTCCGTGTGGACGGCCGCGCAAAATGCCGGCGCTTGTGTCTACAGCCGTTGTACCCGTTGCTTCGAAGTCTTTGTGTACAGTGCCAAGGTATGGAAGGTCAAAATCCATCAGCCAGGTCTCTTGAATAGCGACCACCGACGCTCCCTCGCATAAGCTTCTCACACAATCAACCGACCGCTTCAGGGACTTACAATTGAAACTGACTAACTTCAACGTGTGACATTTATTTTTATCATTAGTTACCTCAGAAATATACTTAGATACGAAATATGAATACCTGCTCCAGAGACTGCTTGGCACTGGAAGCCCTCTACTTGTAGTGAGATGTTAGCTCTGGACTTTGAACTGGTTTTGTCAGTTATAATAAGACCTTACCTACCTGCGGACTTGATGGAGTGACCTGAAGGTGTAATTCGGTGATTACAACAGGAACTCCTAGACTAGTAGAACTAGGTGTGCCGAGTGTGGGTTCGTTTTGTTGGTTATGATGAGACCTTACCACCGGACTTGATGGAGTGACCTGAAGGTGTAATTCGGTGATTACAAGTGGAACTCCTAGACTAGTAGAACTAGGTGTGCCGAGTTTGGGTTCGTTTTGTTAGTTACAATGAGACCTTACCACCGGTCTTGATGGAGTGACCTGAAGGTGTAATTCAGTGATTACAACTGGAACTCCTAGACTAATAGAACTAAGTGTGCCGAGTTTGGGTTCGTTTTGTTAGTTATGATGAGACCTTACCAACATGCTTGATGGAGTGACCTGAAGGGGTAATTCAGTAACCACTGCTGGAATTTCTGAACGAGGAGAACTAGGTGTGCCGAATTTGGGCTCCGTTTTGTTAGTTATGACGAGTCCATACCTCTGGACTTGATGGAGTGACCTGAAGGTGTAAATCGGTGATTGCAACTGGAACTCCTAGACTGGTAGAACTAGGTGTGCCAAGTTTGGGTTCGTTTTGTTAGTAACGATGAGACCTTACCACCGGACTTGATGGAGTGACCTGAAGGTGTAATTCAGTGATTACAACTGGAACTCCTAGACTAGTAGAACTAGGTGTGCCAAGTTTGGGTTCGTTTTGTTAGTTACGATGAGACTTTACCACCGGTCTTGATGGAGTGACTTGAAGGTGTAATTCAGTGATTACAACTGGAACTCCTAGACTAGTAGAACTAGGTGTGCCGAGTTTGGGTTCGTTTTGTTAGTTATGATAAAACCTTACCACCGGCATTGATGGAGTGACCTGAAGGTGTAATCAGGTGGTTACAACTGGAACTCCTAGACTAGTCGACCTACGTCGAATTCGAATTACATGATCATAAGAAATAAGTCGACATTCATTTTATTGAGGAGTCGCGAACATTTGTGTTGGGCTCATTTAACATACAAAAATGTATTGTCTCCTTTTCTCTAGAGTGATCAGTCGAATATTTGACTTTTAGGGTCAGAGAGACTTTTGCTAAAGAAGTGGAAGGGGAATAGATGTTTTACAAGTGACAACACTGTCAAGTACGAAACATAAAAGATAATAAATCTAGAAGATAAAACACAAACTAAGCACATTTTTTTAAAACATCATTTTATTTTATTATCTTAGAAAATATTTTATATTTAATAGAACTATTTTATAAAGAATATCTTTCTGAGTGCTATTTGATGAACCAATAATCGTTAAATCCTAAACAGCTTTATAGTTACTTCTAATATCCCATTTTAAAATGATTACCTTATTGTTGAATCTCTATCTAATTAATAACTTGCTTTTGTTTTACTAAAATTTATATTATGATAAAAATATTGCGTATTCTCAAAGACAGTAAATTGTCTTGACGATTGAATAAATCTTCAAACATCTAAATTAAAACTTAACAATAAATAAAATTGAAGTAACAGTGAAATATCTCGAAATAACTATCATTTATTGAAGTTAAAGGATATTTGCATGCTAATATGACACAATAACCATTTTTAATTGAAAATGCCACTACAATACTGATTTTTACCTCTATTTAGAATTTTTGGCAAACAGGCAGAAAAAGAGAATAAGTGTGTTTCTATCATACGCATGCTTACACTAGACTTCAGCGTTGTTACAGTGCTGTTCCGCCGCGTTCAGCACTGTTGTTAACAAAATAAAAATGCAGATATAATGTTACCCATGAGGACCAAGATGGAATGCCTCATTTCCAGTAAAAAAAGGGTCGTCGGTGACCTTATGAAACGCAGCAGCATTAAGCTACTATTTTACGCTGGTATCCTGTGAGAGTGTGGTCCTTCCCAGGTCGAAATGACCCATTCGTGCTATAACTATACTACTAATATAACTGTAGCATGGCTCTTTTTTTTTTATATATATATATATATATATATATATATATATATATATATATATATATATATATATACGTTCCAGTTTTTCTATTTATTAGTAATTAATAGTTTATTTTTTTTAAATTAATAGATCTGTCCATGTTGGGTGCAAAATACTTAATAAAAGTTTACATAATGATTTCTTATATTTACGTGAACATCACACATTGTTGAAAGAAAGTTGAATGAAAGTTGTTTACCGTGAGTATGTAATCGCTTCTTAGTTATCTAGAGCTCTACGCGGCAGATAGAAGTGTTTCAGAGGCGACTCAGCGAAGCATGCTATGACGTCTTTTTATTATCTTAAAATGCTGTATGGGGCTGATAGAAGCGAAACTGTATAAGTAAAACCAAAACCAGCGAACTTTTGCGCCCTCCTTTCTGCCAAGGAGGGTCGCGTTCGTATACGGCTTAGAGATCTCTAGTTAGACCGTTAAGCCAGTCCCTAAAAGGCGGTGTTCAGTGGGTAAAAGTCTCCGCATAACCACGCAGCTGGCTGCGTGGTATGCTATGAGCATTCACCGCCTCCCTCCCCCGCATTCAGGAGGGTTGCCCATAATTGCTTCGGGCGCAAAAAAAAAACCAGCGAAACGCGAATAGAGGTAAAAAATGTAGTTACTCCCTCAAGACCACAAAGCATCAAAACACAATACTGTTATGACAAAGGTGGTTAAAATCACAATTATTATTACTTCGGTAATTAATTATTATAAAATTTTAAAAATCACAAAGTAATAATTAATATTTTTTTTCATAATTTACCTGATGATCCTGATAATTACATTGTTTCAAAATGACATGTGTTATATCAGCGGGAAATGTATTTTACTCTCAGATCAAATAAAAAGTCAAGACAGCCCCAGCGAACAACGCAGAAACCGGTAAATGTACGCATTGCCTTGTACATACACAGTTACACGCACACACATATAACGAAACTATGCCTTACCTTGTCAGTCGCGATATTCCAGTGCGCAGTATGTCACGCTATAATAATTCGCAATATTTAAAGAAAAAATACGAAATTGTGTTGTGAAAAGGTGTAAAAACCAATCTTCGAGAAATAAAAAGCAGGATGGAATCCCACTTCATTCCAAAATAAACATTAAAATATATATTTTTAATAAATTAATTTTATTATTTATTATGACAGCTTGCAACATAAAACCTTTAAAAGTGTTGCCACTAGTAAGCATCACAATAGTCCCCGTTTATTGAGTAAGTTAATAAAGTGACGCGAAACGTAATGTAATACGTTCGTTTACCTATTTATATTTTTACTTTTAATATTCATAACATTAACGTAAGTGTAAATAGGTGTTAAATTCTTTCTAACTTAGAGACTGAACACACTTATGCATATCAAGAGCATAAAATAAGTTTAATAAGATGCATAATTAAAACGTTGCAAAATGCAAAATTAGCCGTGTAGTGGCGGTTGAGAATATCCACTACCCCATATCTTCCCGTGGGTGTCGTAAGAGGCGACAGAGGGACACAAAAAGGAGATGGGCAGCAGCATCTTCCTAATAACAACAATAACATAATAAAAAACTGCGGTTGCAAACCCGCTCGCCAAGCGTGGCAACTCTGGCAAATATCCCCCACGAGCAACGACCAAATTAACGGCACCCAGTCCCCGGCGGCCCCGCTATTCCTGGCTACGGTGGCGACCATGGTAATGGCGGGGCAGGGGGTGCTAAGAATCTCCGGTGGAGGTTCGGTTGCCACCTACGACGACTCGACCTG